AGTTGCGAGGTAGTAAAGACCAGTTGTTCGTACGTTTTTGCTGAGAAAAAACAAAAAAAATCTCTGGAAGGGGGAGGCGACGCCTGATCGCCACCCCCCTAAATCTGCCACTGGGAAAGGATCAGTAGTTATGCTTGAGTCGCGATATATTGGGAGTTGATGTTCTAAGAAAATATTTCATAGAGTATAATAGTGCTTTCAAAGTCTCTGGAAATGATACAATAGTAGCATAAGTAATAGTGGCATAGATCGGATATCACCGTACTACTTACAATCTCGTGATTGCCCCACTAGAATACAGGTTACCTTTGTTTTATTTTATTTCAAAAGATTATCTCTAGAAGAAGAAGAAGAAATGATTCTACTGAGTCACGTTTTTTTTTTTCTTAGATGAAAGTTTTGTAGTTCTTTTGAAATATGTTATAGATTATGAAAACATTTATTTGAATAAATCTCAAAATAATAAAAATATTCTTTTAATTCTATTTAAAATTAATAAAAACAATATTTACTTCAAATTCAGTTTGTGATTTAACAGTAAGACCTTCAAAACGACCATTAATTTCATTTAATGATGAAATAAATCTTGGTTCTTGTACTTCAACTTCATGTAATATTTCAGTAACAACTTTTGATACGTCTCTTACAGCTTTATAAATTGAATTTTTTCGTGGTATTACTTTTTCAAGATAATATTGATTGAGTTGAACAGCAAATTTATTTGATGGACACAACATGTTTTCAAGTTGTTATTCTAGTTTTGCTATCTAATTTACTTAATCATCATTGATGTGAAATGAAAGAGACATATATCTACTTCATCGTTCTTTTTCTCTTTTCCCTTCATCAAGCCAATCAAATAGCATGATTGTCTTACCAATAGAAAAAAAAAAAAAATCTACATACGAATGTCAACAGAAAAAAAAAACATTATGTAATTAGGATATGACGATGTTTTTTACATCAATGAAAAGCAAAACTGAAATTTTTCAATAGAATTAAATTTTGAAATGAGTTTCTCATCTTATGTTTGATATTTCAGTTATTTTATCCTTGTGAAAAAGAAAAACTAACATCAACCAAAGTACTTTATGTTATTTGCTTTTAGAAAATGATTCGAAAGAAGAAATGATTAACTTGTTTTCAGTATATGATTAAGTACGATAATGAATAGAAGACGTACAATCTAAAGAAAAGTTTTAATTTCAAAACTACTGATTAGCATTCTTTATAAGAGTTGATAAATTTATATTTAAATGAATAGAAGTTATTATTCTCAAGTAAAAAAAAAAAAAAGTCTTTGATATGATACATATTCATTCAAAGTATTGTTTCTTTCCTATTATTATTAATAAACACTTTTAAATGTTATCTTGCACATTTATCATTTGTGATAAAGATCGTTTATAAAATATTTCGTTGATTATATTTGTAAAATCTTCACAATTCTAACTTTTCTTAATGAAATATAATTTAAAACACTACTTGATTGTAGAAGAAATCTTTCTCAAAATTTTGAATCAAATTTTAATTAATTTTATTGTTCGATCTAAACAAGAATATCATAATAATTTGATCAACTGAATTTTTTTTTTCTTTTCTTTATCCAATCATGATTCATTAAAACAACGAACAGTCGTTGTTTGACTAAAAAATCACACTATTGTTAATAAATCGTTCGTGCGTGAGATGAGACACAGTAAGGGAGTAATTAGAAACATCATTCATATTCATCACACATGTAATTGAACTGAGCGTGAAATATGAGGACGGATGTTTATCATCGTCGTGTGCGAATGAATACAGTGACGAATAAAAGATGCGCTTACTTGATAAAACAAGAGTCACTCATCACAATAGGAGGTGGAGTTACAAAACAAACAGTTCGAATTAACTTTTGTATCTTTTTTAGAATATTTTTATTATTATTGATAAAAATCATTGAATTCTTAACTATTTGTTTATCTTAAATTAAATTCATTCTAATATAAGACTAAAGGAAAAAAAAAGAACTCTATAAGATTTACAATGAAATAAAAGACATTGATCGATGATGATTACATTGTTTACCAAAATGTAAAATATAAACATGTAATAAGTATTGTCTGATAAACTCATCTTTTCAATAGGACAGACTCATGTCTGAGAATGAAGATAAAATATGAATAAATAATATAATGTCTATTTTTCTTTTGCATTCGATCAGTTGAAATAATCGATCTTTTCTCACTATAAATATATTTATATATATATAACTCATTCAAGAGAGATTATATCGATACACTTTACTTGATTGACATGAGCATAGAGATGACTGTAATATGATAGGTGAAAAAGACAATAGGATAAACTAGTGGTATGTATTTACTTGCTTGTCAAATAAATCGTTTAGTGACACGAACAAATGACTTTAGGATGTCGAATAAATATTATTGACAGTAGATAAACACGAAGAAATTATTTGTAATTTTTCTGATTAGATAAAATGTTCTTGTAAATTTATTTAACAATCAAAAATAAATATTACAATAAAAATTGATTATTTTATATTATGTCAAATTTATTAAATTTAAAAATAAGGAAACTTATCTGGCATATGTAGTATTGTCCATTGATTTAGATAATTCATTGAATTTATCTCTTGACAACATATAATTCTTGTTAAAAAATAAATATGGATAATGAAAATGTTTTGTTTCTTAGTTAATAAGACTACACATATATTCTGATTAAATAAAATCTTTCACTATCAAACTAATAATTACATTCAAATATCTCGGCCCATGCATACCAAGTGCAATCTATATTTTAAATTTGTTAGTTTGACGGTGACAAATTTAATTTTACTCGAATATATCTAGTCTTATTAACAAACCATTCTATTGTGAGATTAGTAGAATAATTCTGTATAACATATGGATATATACGAAAGTCAAAAATCTTAGTTTTAAGACATCAAAAGAAAATTGATTCTGAAAAGATGAACCCATAACACTTTCATATAAACTTAGTCATAGGTATCTACTTTTAAAGTGAGTTTTGAATATAATATTAAAGATCAATCAAACGTAAGTATTTTCAAGAAACTCTAAGGTTATAATGATCAAATTATCTTTTCAAGGTATATGAATAATTACTATTTACATGTATAATTTTTTTTTTCTTGAAGTAGATTCTAATCAAATATTTGGTGTTTTTCATAATGAACAATTTATTTAAACTGGCTGGGTAATCGAACGATGACAACATATATATATACTGTCATACTTTATCTGTATTAAGACATATATATATGTACTTCATAAATCTTCAGCAAGAGTATATTCAAATTAGGAAAGTGACACCGAAAAACCGTTCAAGAGAGGATGTACGAAGCTTCTTCAAATTAACGGGTGTACCAGCATAAATGTTTCTCTATTTGTTTTTGTGTTACTATAATGGTTAAGGTTTATTGTCAAACCTTAATCTTCGTTTTTAAAAGATTCAAGATTCAATTCTCTTCGAAAATGTATCACTAGTTTTTTAAGTAGAAAAATAAAATAAAATAAAATATACTGTAAGGTTCCAATATTTTCTTTAACAATTCCGCAGATTGTTCTAGCTTTGCAGACCTCGCAGCGGTCCTGATTTCCTGATTTTTGGTGCTTTTCGAAACTAAATAATTTCTCTAGAAAATTTCGGTTTAGTCTCAGTGTAGGCGTTTCAGAAATTCTGTCTTGCATTGATGA